TCTGTATATAACATGTTTGTCGTGGATACTTCAATGGATTTAAGTGTTAGATTATTATAGTGCTCGGGTCTAAATTTATGAGTAAAAAAATTACTATTGAAAGTCTTTAAAAACAATTTTCATTTTATATACTTAGAATAATAATTTTCAATTATGAACATTACATAAAATTTTTAAAAAGTGTATTAACGTTTATAAAATTTCTAAAATTGTGTCTGAAATGTATTGACTGCACAGCTACTTCCCTTTAAAAACCATTAAATCGGGGGAAGAAAGAATTTACTTTTTATTACTTTGTTTTGGTGTTAAAATTTTTTTTTTTTACATAATTAGCGGGGATTTATTAAGTGCAATGTCGTTGGTATTTTTAATACTGCCTTTTTATCAATTCTATACACTGAACATACTGTTCGCTAATTATTTTTTAAAAATCAATAACATTTAGTAAGCCAGGTCCTACAAATCCTATGTTTATTTCTTTCCATTTACGGATAACCTTTGAGTATTATAATTTTATTCACTAAATTAAAACAGGCGCGTCCGCCGGCGCCCCTGCACGGTTCGATTTGGCGCCCTGGGCTACCATGTGAGCGCTATGTTGCATACTTTTGTTTTAAACAGTGCGATAGACTATGGATAAGAAAGGTTACTATAGTCTTTAAGTGAATCAAATCCGGGCGTCCTCCGGCACCCCGACAGGGTGCTATTTGGCGCCCCGGGCCTTCCCGTTTACGCTATGGTACCTACGTTCGCGTAAGTGAGTTCAAAAGACTATGAATAAGTTGGTTACTCTAGTCGTTTACTAAGTTGAATGAGGCGGTTACGCCGCACGTCGTCATGGTGCGATTTGGCGCCCCAGGCTAGACTGTTGACACTTTGAGTTTATCTTTGCGTTTGTGTTTTCTTTGAGTTTGTGGTTGTGTTTAGGTTTGTTTTCGTTTTCTTTGCGTTTGTGTTTTCTTTGTGTTTTCTTTTGTGTTTTCGTTTGTTTGTATTTGTATTTGCGTTTGTGTTATGTTTGCGTTTTTTTTTTGTGTGTTTTGGTTTTCTTTGGTTGTGGTTGGGTTTGGATTTGTTTTCGTTTGCTTTTTTGTTTGCGTTAGTGTTTTCTTTGTGTTAGTGGTTGGGTTTGTCTTTGCGTTTGTTTTTTCGTTTGTGTTTGTTTTGTGTTAGTGTTATATTTGCGTTTCTTGTGTGTTTTGGTTGGTTGTGGTTAGGGTGGGCAATGCCGGATAAATGCTGATTACTAAACACACATGTCATGGTCCTTTACAGATACGTTTTTCAGAGATGCCAGTGCAGGGTCTGGCCGGGCCGGCTAGTTATATATATTTTCTATATAAATTCCATTTAGTTGAAGAGATGCCTGGAAGAAACTCTGAAACCAAATCACTTTAATTCCACGTCCCATCATGCACGTCGTACCCCACCCCACACACGGAGAGTAGGGAGACTAATGTAGAAATAGAGAGTGAGTGAGCTCCCCTAAACTTTCTCGTATTTTTTTTTTTTAATGCGGAGACACATCGAGGTACCGCAACATTGTTCGTATGTCAAACTGTTCGTATCTGAAAGCAATTTTCTCCGTTAAAATTACATGAAGTTCATTAATCCGTTCCAGCTCTCAAAATGCAACCTCAACTGTTTTTGTTACGTATTTTCTGTAAGGAAAATGTAAGCTATTTATAAATAATAAATGTTGCATAAAATAAATAAAAACATAATGAAGTAGAATGTAAAGAACTACACTGGTAGCTGACTTGAGATTACCGAAGGTGCTGGTTGAGGTGTAGCGTAGAGGAGATTGGCGGAGTTTTATTTCGTTCGATCGTTGTATTTTCCATCTAGACTACATGCAGCTTAAGGAAGTATTCTCTTAGTCTTGCCGGTGCTAGACTAGATTTTTTCAACTTGGCATTCCGTTATACTCGTAAATCTATTCCATCCGACCATTTTGTGTGCTCGACATATTTAGTATGAAGGGATTACATATTAAGAAAGAAATCACAGGACTTACCATCACAACAGTCAGAAGTTGGCTATAGAAATAAAAAGTATGTATGTCAAAGCACATACATACAACGCACGCCTGTATAGGTGGCATTGACATGTTTCGTCACGTTGTGTCTCATGACGTCAAGGATTATTACAAAAAAAAAGCGTGGGTTTCTTCCTATTAATACTAATAGTTTCGCTGTCTGTCTATCTACCTATCTATCTATCTATCTGACAAGAACGCTGTAGAGAAAACACAAGCAAAATAAAAACATGCACAGTAATTCGAAAAACGAAGTATGACGTCGACACATTTAGCACAGAGTAGAAAATAATCTCAATCCGGAGAGCGCACACAGTAATATGACGTCATTGATTATCGAGTAAACATTGAATAAAAAGGAAATTTTGTCTTATCTAAGTGGTTTGCGTGAAGAGTTTCTTTCATACAATTCTTCGGGTAGGGGCGAAGCCCCACCCCCGCGTAAGAACGTCTGAGCCCCCCCCCCTCCCTAACTCAAAAGAAATTTCTTTATCGATACTCTATAATAAAATTACCGCCTAATTAATGTGTCTAATCTAAAAAGTGGTTTTCTTGCAATGGGACGGTAGACATGTTTTTTTTGTTGGGGGGGGGGTGGGTTGGAGGGGTGGGGGGGTGTGGGGGTGGGGGGTGGTGTGTGGGGGGTGGGTTGGTTTCAGTGTTTCTTTCAGACTTTTTCCTCCCCGGAGAGGGGTGGGGGGTACTTGAAATTTTCGGGGGCGGGGGTAGAATTTTCTGGGAGGGGGCGGACACTGGAAAAAGTATATAACTATATTTCGTTGAATGGGACGGTAGACATGTTTTTTTTGGGGGGGGGGTGGAGGGGTGGGGGGTGGGTGGGGTGGTGGTGTGTGTGGGGGTGGGGGGTGGGGGGTGGTGTGTGGGGGGGGTGGGTTGGTTTCAGTGTTTCTTTCAGACTTTTTCCTCCCCGGAGAGGGGTGGGGGTACTTGAAATTTCCGGGGGCGGGGGTAGAATTTTCTGGGAGGGGGCGGACACTGGAAAAAGTATATAATTATATTTCGTTGGATGGGACGGTAGACATGTTTTTTTTTTGGGGGGGGGGGGGGGGTGGAGGGGTGGGGGGGGGGGGGGGGGGCGGTGTGTGTGGGGGGGTGGGGGGTGGTGTGTGGGGGTGGGGGGGTGGTGGTGGGGGTGGTGTGTGGGGGTGGGTTGGTTTTAGTTTAGAGAAATGAGACAGCACTATCAGCCTAGCGCCCGTTGTACCCTTCCTCAACGGGCCATTTTTCTCGTTAATACTAATAGTTTCGATGTCTCTCTATGTATCTATCTATCTGTCTGACAAGAACGCTCTAGAGAAAACACAAGGAAATTAAAAACTCTCACAGTGAAACGAAAGACGAAGTATGACGCGGTCACATTTAGCATAGAGTAGAAAATAATCTCAGTAATATGACGTCATTGTTTCTCGAGTAAACATTGAATACAAAGGCAATTTGGTCTAATCTAAGTGGTTTGCGTGAAGAGTTTCTTTCATACAATTCTTCGGGTAGGGGCGAAGCCCCACCCCGCGTAAGAACGTCTGAGCCCCCCCCCCTCCCCAACTCAAAAGAAATTTCTTCATCGATACTTTATAAGAAAATTACCGCCTAATTAATGTGTCTAATCTAAAAAGTGGTTTTCTTGCAATTTCTTTAATGCAATTCTTCGGGTAGTGGCTAAGCTCGACACCAGTGTTTCTTTCAGACTTTTTCCTCCCCGGAGAGGGGTGGGGGTACTTAAAATTTTCGGGGGCGGGGGTAGAATTTTCGGGGAGGGGGCGGACACTGGAAAAAGTATATAATTATATTTCGTTGAATGGGACGGTAGACATGTTTTTTTGGGGGGTGGGGGGTAGGTTGGGGTGGGGGGGTGTGTGTGTTGTGCTTTTAGTTTAGAGAAAAGAGACAGCACTATTAGCCTAGCGCCCGTTGTATCCTTCCTCGAGACATGTTTTTTGGGGGGTGTTGTGTGTGGGGGGGGGGGGGGGTGGTTTTAGTTTAGAGAAAAGAGACAGCACTATCAGCCTAGCGCCCGTTGTATCCTTCCTCAACGAGACATGTTTTTTTGGGGGGTGGGGGGGTGGTGTGTGTGGGGGGGGGGGGGGGTGGTTTTATTTTAGAGAAAAGAGACAGCACTACCAGCCTAGCGCCCGTTATATCCTTCCTAAACGGGCCATTTTTCTCGTATATTAATAAAGGTATCTAATAGATAATAAAGTGACCTACGTTTTTCTTTATAGTTATTTAAATAGTAGTGTATTATTATATATTTAAAGAAAATAATTTATTTTCTACTTTTTAGTGCATTATTACATAAAAGATTGTTATTAAAACTTTTTATTTTTAAAATTTTTCTCTATTCTAAAACTAAAACAAAGTTAATTAATCATTTATTGAAATGGAGAGAGGCGCTTTTCTTCCTTATATTCCTCCCCGTGTGATGCTCTGGATCAAACAGAGTAGATGTGTTGAAAATTTAAAACAAAATTTTAATTTTAAAAATTATTTGCAGAGTTCTAATTTGAACAAAAACAAAATGATTCACATAAAAAGCTACAAATATCAACAATTTACAATGAGGTAGATATCATTAATTATTCATGTTTTACAAGATAAAATGATTGCAGACGACTCTTCATTTGGAAAATTTTCCAGTGTATATATTTTCAAGTTTACTATATGGTCATATGTAAGTTTACTTGAATATGAAACTTATTTTATATATTTTAAACTATATCTAAGAATTACTTTCTCAAAATATTTTAAACCATTGCCATTTGAACGATCAGTTAAATATTTTCATGTTAAAACAGATGTACAAATTAATACAGAATTAATGTTAGTTTTTTGTGTGGGTAGGTAGGTCTAGTTTCGAACTTTCTAAAGCTCACATTTCCTTCTCAACCTAGGGTAAATAGGAAATGATCTAATATTTTTGAAAATAGAATATTCAACGAACACATTAAAAATCTGAATTTCTTTTATTGATAATATTACAATAAAATAAAAATTATGTTATGCAGCAAAAAAGGGCACACGTCTTGAACATTTTTTTATAAAAGCCTAATCAAAGAAAGGACGTAAGTATAGAATACTGAAGAAAAGCCATTATAATACACATTAAGAGAAATTAACTTAATGATTATAATCACGTGCATCTGAACTATGTATCACGTGTACTAGTACCATATGACTTTTATTCTAGGATTTTCAAGCTACTTTGTCTAGGAACACTGCACCAGTAGGACAAATAGCTTGTCAATAAGAGAGAATTTAAAAAATATATCTCAGTCCCACTCAGCAGCAACCACAGCCCATTCATCATCTTCAACAAATAACTTGTCTACACATCTGTAGATAAAAATATGTGTCATTTAAAATGTGTGTGTGGGTGTGGCTAGAGTTGGGTCAAGTCTGATGTGTGTGTGTGTGGCCAGAGTTGGGACAAGTCTGATGTGTGTATGTGTGGGCAGAGTTGGGTCAAGTCTGATGTGTGTGTGTGTGGCCAGAGTTGGGTCAAGTCTGATGTGTGTATGTGTGGCTAGAGTTAGGTCAAGTCTGATGTGTGTGTGTGTGTGTGGCCAGAGTTGGGTCAAGTCTGATGTGTGTGTGGCCAGAGTTGGGTCAAGTCTGATGTGTGTATGTGTGTGTGGCCAGAGTTGGGTCAAGTCTGATGTGTGTGTGGCCAGAGTTGGGTCAAGTCTGATGTGTGTGTGTGTGTGTGTGGCCAGAGTTGGGTCAAGTCTGATGTGTGTGTGGCCAGAGTTGGGTCAAGTCTGATGTGTGTGTGGCTAGAGTTGGGTCATGTCTGATGTGTGTGTGTGCGTGTGTGGCCAGAGTTGGGTCAAGTCTGATGTGTGTGTGGCCAGAGTTGGGTCAAGTCTGATGTGTGTATGTGTGGCCAGAGTTGGGTCAAGTCTGATGTGTGTGTGGCCAGAGTTGGGACAAGTCTGATGTGTGTATGTGTGGCCAGAGTTGGGTCAAGTCTGATGTGTGTGTGGCCAGAGTTGGGTCAAGTCTGATGTGTGTGTGTGGCCAGAGTTGGGTCAAGTCTGATGTGTGTGTGGCTAGAGTTGGGTCAAGTCTGATGTGTGTGTGTGTGGCCAGAGTTGGGACAAGTCTGATGTGTGTATGTGTGGCCAGAGTTGGGTCAAGTCTGATGTGTGTGTGTGTGGCCAGAGTTGGGACAAGTCTGATGTGTGTGTCTGTGGCTAGAGTTGGGTCAACTCTGATGTGTGTGTGTGTGTGGCCAGAGATGGGACAAGTCTGATGTGTGTATGTGTGGCCAGAGTTTGGTCAAGTCTGATATGTGGCCAGAGTTGGGTCAAGTCTGGTGTGTGGATGTGCTACTAATTGTCTGTATCGCCGTCCGTATACTTGTGTCGCTTGTCTGGTCGAATAATAGTACTTGTTGTGTTTATGAGGCTAGCGGTCAGACCTTTCGGGGTTCAGAGGTCAAGCCAGCCCGTGTCTTCCGTGCACAAATTGTGATGGTGGTCTGCCAAGAAGCTCTATTTTTGTAGAGCTGATTGGCAGATGTGGTTACACGTCTGACTTGATGCATGGAAGGCAAGGCGATTTGGTGCCGTGTGGAATGGTAGGTTCGGAACCCGTCGGGTCTGTCTGTTCTGTCTTTACTTGGACTATATTCTGTACCTTTGTCTGCCCTTGGCGTTGAAATATCACTTTATGTTTATATTGCTATTTCAGTTACAACGCCTGCTTCCACCCTTCACCATGTGTGTGTGTGTGTGGCTAGAGTTGGGTCAAGTCTGATGTGTGTGTGCGTGTGTGGCCAGAGTTGGGTCAAGTCTGATGTGTGTGTGTGGCTAGAGTTGGGTCAAGTCTGATGTGTGTGTGTGGCTAGAGTTGGGTCATGTCTGATGTGTGTGTGCGTGTGTGGCCAGAGTTGGGTCAAGTCTGATGTGTGTGTGTGGCTAGAGTTGGGTCAAGTCTGATGTGTGTGTGTGGCCAGAGTTGGGTCAAGTCTGATGTGTGTGTGCGTGGCTAGAGTTGGGTCAAGTCTGATGTGTGTGTGGCTAGAGTTGGGTCAAGTCTGATGTGTGTATGTGTGGCTAGACTTGGGTCAAGTCTGATGTGTGTGTGGCTAGAGTTGGGTCAAGTCTGATGTGTGTGTGTGGCCAGAGTTGGGTCAAGTCTGATGTGTGTGTGCGTGTGTGGCTAGAGTTGGGTCAAGTCTGATGTGTGTGTGGCTAGAGTTGGGTTGTCTGTTGTGTGTGTGTGTGTGTGGCTAGAGTTGGGTCAAGTCTGATGTGTGTGTGTTTCTAGAGTTGGGTTGTCTGTTGTGTGTGTGTGTGTGTGTGGCTAGAGTTGGGTCAAGTCTGATGTGTGTGTGTGTGGCCAGAGTTGGGTCAAGTCTGATGTGTGTGTGTGGCTAGAGTTGGGTCAAGTCTGATGTGTGTGTGGTTAGAGTTGGGTCAAGTCTGATGTGTGTGTGGCTAGAGTTGGGTCAAGTCTGACGTGTGTGTGGCTAGAGTTGGGTCAAGTCTGATGTGTGTGTGTGTGTGTGTGGCTAGAGTTGGGTCAAGTCTGACGTGTGTGTGGCTAGAGTTAGGTCAAGTCTGATGTGTGTGTGGCTAGAGTTGGGTCAAGTCTGACGTGTGTGTGGCTAGAGTTGGGTCAAGTCTGATGTGTGTGTGTGTGTGTGGCTAGAGTTGGGTCAAGTCTGACGTGTGTGTGGCTAGAGTTGGATCCAGTTGGTCAAATTCAATGAGATATTTAAAAATGAATATCTATGCTGAATAAACTAACTTTACCTGATCATGAAATCTCCACAAAGAATACATTCTGATGCCACTAATTCATCTAGTTTTGCCTTTTAAAGAAACACATTTAAAATATTAAATGACATTACTGGTTTTACGTTTAAGAAAAAAATGCGCTCTTTTCTAACAAATGTTTTTCTCTTAAATAAGATTTACTTAACATTTTCTAATAAAGAATTTTTAAAGATGTATTAAGCTGACTTTAAAAGCTGGTATTTTATTTTCTACAATACAGTGTGTGTTACACTGTAAAAAAAAAATCACTGCTGTAGTAGATCTTTTTATGTTTTACAAAACCACATAAAAGTTTTTTTTAAAAGCAGGATTTTGCCCCCCCCCTCCCCCCCGCCCACATTGTGGGATCTGGCAGAGTATTGTTCTACCCATAAATGATAAGATTTGTAAGTAAAGCAACAAAATGTGTCTGTATAAAAAGTGTGTCTGTAGGGATGGATGAAGACAATATGACTTATGATGTTAAATATTTAGTAGTCACTGCAAGTCAATGTAATAAACAATAGTATTTCCAATTAGAAACTAATTAATTTGTAGAGAGGCTCACCTTGACATCAATATCCTTAATACCTGCTGGTGGAGACTGAATTTTTTGAATGTTACTAATTTCTCCTTCAGCAAGTTTTCTTTGTAAACTCTCCACCTGACTTCTCTGAGAGGAAGGTAAACTTGGTAGCACCTAAGATTAAAAGACATTATAAAAGACTGCTTTTCTTTTTAATGAAAGAGTGAAAAGTGATTTTTCTATTAAGTGGTGTATCAGTTTTTGTAGTATCCCATTGTGTTGTACTAAAATTTACATAAAAATGTTCTATAATTAAATATGGGTTACAAATAGTGAGCAAAAAAAAAAAGTCAAAATTTGAATTATGTATTGTGTGCATGATCTGAATTATGTTGTAAAATAATGTAGGTCAACATTAAATTTTATAAACATAATAAACATTTTTAACAACATATATTTAATCTACTTGTGTTTAAGACAATTGAAAATATCATAAATAAATATTACTTTCATGCTTTGCAATTCATAAACAGTTTTATTTTAGATTCCAATCATCTTAAATTTCTGTCTAAATCATCCCAAAATTAATATTTGACATTTGAATGTCTGACTATGAAAAATAAAATGTCTTTAAATTTTTCACTTTCCAGAAGGTGTTTCAAGTATTGGTTTGTTCAGATTGTACTGCGCCAGATCAAATGTAGCAAACTAAAACCATAAACTTTTAATCATTACCTCAGAGATGAGACAGTCCATATGAAATTTATGATTACATGGGAAGAGGTAAAATGCTCTGGACATCAGAGGGTAGTTACAGGCTGAACATTTATCTTCAGCTTTAACAAAGGCATATCTAAACAAGATGGGTAACATTTTAATAAAGGTACATCTAACTAAAATAAAGAACACTTTAACAAAGGCATATCTCATCAAAAACTATGGTATTCAGCAGATAATGATATTTGTAATAAATACACTTAGCAAATAGTGCTGTTTTCCTAGTGATTCAATAACCAGACAATGTATTAATCTTTGACATAAATGACATAAAGTAAAAGACAATAATAAATGGCTTTGCTTATAATAATTTTACAATCTGCACAATAAAAACTGCCCAGTTTAGAGTCCAAGAATTAGTGTCTAGAAACAATGTCTGATGATAAAATCTTACTTATTTCTAAAACTTTGAATTTCTTTTCTAATTTCCTCAGCACTTTGTGTAGCCTCTTTCATTTCTTCTTTTAGACTGTCTATGTGTCTGTTATAATCTTGGAGAGAAGTGATAATGGCATCCTAGAAACAAAAAAAGTAATAAAAAAAGAACTGTCTTAAGGAAAATTAAGAAACACACATATTTATATGCACTTATATATGTACATGAGGAGTCCACTTGCAAAACCTGCCTAGTCACTTTAGATTGATTGACATTTAATTAAAATGACTATAATTAATAGACATCTTAATGCTATTAAACTCAAGAAAAGGTTTCTGAAGTACCTTAAAATGATCAATAGTTACAAAATCAGGAAAGAAGGGCAATATGTCTTCTATTTTTAGTCGATCACATTCATGTAAAAACTCCATGGCTCTCTTAATATCCTTTTCTTCTTCAACTACATGGCGAGCTATAAAAAAAAAAAAAATCTATGCAGTTGGTTTGTTTTAGCAGCAGAGTTTCTTCCAAGCATCTCTTCAGGAGGGCACTACCCCCCCCCCCCCCCCACAAGAAAGTCTATCCCCTCCTGTACAAAACGGAATTTATTTAGAAAATATATACTTTTAAGTGTCGCCCCCCCCCCCCCCTGCCCCAAAGAAAAGTCTGGAAGAAACACTGTCTAGCAGGGGCCAGAATTTTCAGTCATCCTTATGTAACAGTAAGGGTTGAGATTTCCAGTGGAAGATAAGTTAATGACAAAACCTCTTATTTTTTGAGTAAACACAGATTTAAAAAAAAAAAACAACTTATAATATGTTGCTTTCTGAGAATATGAAATAGTTATAAAATTTTGAAGTAAGGTGAAGAACCACTTCTTGTTAACTGAAATCACTCAAAAGTTAATACATATGAAATTATGTCCACCTAAGTGAAATGCTGTTCAAAGTTAAAAATACAGTAAAATATTACTTCTGCTAACTGGAAAATGCTGAAATGAAATGGTACTCAAGTTTGAGAAACTGGCAATAAAGAAATTTCCACATCCGCTAAATGGAAATTGTTCAAACATTGATAGATACCTGCTATGAAGGGCGCTCAACTACTAGAATGAAGACTGCTAGAGTCCACTAGCCCCGTTGGGTAATTGACACACATTATGAAAAGTAAAGGCCCTTGGGCATAGTGCTGACAGCACCATCTTATTATATACTAAAGTCAGGAAACATGAACTCTATTTCACCTGCCCTATGGATTTTTACTGACACAGGACAGTGTAAAATATTGAGATTTTGATTTTTTGCACAACGATACTTCCCCCTTAACTCTGTATATGAGGAAGTAAAAAAGGAGGAGGGGTAGTATATTGCCATGAACATATCTTATGCAAAAGTGATTACATCCACCACATAAACAAGTGTCAAACATAACAATAGAGTAAAGCCTGTCAAGAAAAAGTTTTTTGTTCCTTTAGTGAGAACTTGCTTTACATTTTGAAATTACTTCATTTCAAAAATTACATTTATCTGAATTAACTCTACAATACAGCATCACCTTACAATACAATGTTTTTAATTAAATCTTCAAATGAACAAATGCAATTACCAATTCTCAGCCAAAGTTTCTTACGCATGTCTCTGTCTTCTTCTTCAGGCTTGTCAGCTTGCTGCTTGGCCAACTCCACATCAACCTATAAAGTCAGTAACATGTCAAGCAATGATGTGACCATAAACTTTTAAAAACTTAACTACTAATGATAAGACACAGATGACATTAGTAACCATTTTGATAAGTTTTGGCAAAATATAAAAATTATAAAAACAATAAAATGTGTTGATATGTGGCAGTGAGCTAAGTTACACATTGCTATCCAAACTAATGCTAGAACACTGTTATACAAGAGTTGTGTGATTAACCATTAGATGGGCATTATAAAAAAAACTAGGAGTTAATAGAGCAGTTAACTTACTTAAAGTACATTTGACAATTTCTGATTAATTTAACAGTTAACATTTACTTTCAGTGGAGATACTATTGAAATTGTTACTAATTATTCAATTTTTAGAAATTATAAAGTACAAGTTGTTTTAACAAGCTTTCATGTAAGCCATTTCCAGTGAAAATGCAAGTATATTTAATTTTCCGTCTTATTAACTTTTCAATTAAATGTCAAAATTAATTTTAAAATATCTTAAGTCATTAACAAAAGGGGAGAGAAACCAGTTGTGAACACTAATGTGAGCTGGTTAGAGGCAAGTAACTAGGTGCAAATCATTCACATGCTTGTGTAGAGTAAGGGAATATTTGCAACATCAAGCCAATTTAGTATAAAGCAATCTGTTTTTGTCATGATGGGTTTCAACAAGTATTTAAATGCATTTAAAATAAAAAAAATACACATACATTTTCTTCAGCTTTGATATTTAAACAAAAGCATTTGTCACAAAATGTACCAAAACGATTTCTAGAGCTATTTTTTGGATCACAAAGGTGCAATTAATCTGTTCCAGCCCCCAAAATGCCACCCCAGTTGTTTTTTATAAGTGTTGTTTTAAATAAGAAAAGTTTATTTATGCATGAAAAATATTGTTTAACAACATAATATTGGATAATGCAAAGAAATACACTAATTTTATAAGTGTATCTACTTTGAAAATTAGCTGAAGAGCTTATTGAAGATGTTGATGGAGGTGTTGGCCCGGTGCTAAGCTCTTTTGGTCACTTGAATTCACTTACTCGTTACACTTATAATGTTACACTTTATCCCTAAACTTAACAGAACTTAAACTTCACCAAAAATAACCTCTATTGTACAGAATAATGTTTTGTTACTTTAACTTAATTTTTGTCACTACTTTTCTCTTCACTAGTCTTTGCTTTTGTCCCCACACTTTCCCCACTTTCCCACGCAGGTTGTTAAACTAAACCCATCTAAGGAGGTTTGGTTTTTCCTCCCTTTCAGAATTTTTCAGAAAAGAAGTTAGTGTCATTAAATAGTACTGTTGCACAATCAGTTGCAACTTTTCGGTTGTTTCTATTCTGGTGATTCTTATCTCAAATTTTACTCATATGTCAAAGCTAATTTTATCTCAAACAATAACTCGTATCTCAAAAATCAAATATATCAGGGCACTCATATGTTGAGGTATCACATTATATCTAAAGAAATCATTCAAAATATATGTTGATTTTCTTATCTTTAATGCATTTAAAAAGAGTGCTGTAACAGTTTTTGTTCTTTTGTGCAATAAAGCTCATGTTGTTTTTAACTGTAAGCAAAATTTGCCTGAAATACTGGTATTTGTCAAATGTGTAAAGCAAAAAAAAGCACATGTCAGTGAAAAAAGATTTATACACTACTCACAGACAGGGCCATATCAACAGCTTCTTCATACAATCCCATCAATGAATAAATATGTACACAAGCCTTTTTATGATCAAACTCAGCACAAAGCCTTAGTGCATACTTGACATCATATCTGATACTTTCTGGATCCTAATCAATAAACAGTGCACATTTAAAAATGAGTAAATATGTAAAATTCATGTAATATGTGGGTGGGAAAAATGATATGATACAAAGTAAATGTTCATCAAATTTCAAAGGCACAACAAATTAAGGCGCAAGGGTCATCCATTTATGATGTCCAAAAATAGAATATAATGTGTAAGTGTACTACTTCTGAATGCTGATAGTGATTAGTGATTTATTATGTTCTAAAAAATGCTCCATCTTCTTCTTCATTCTTAATTTTAGTGCTGGAAGTGATCCCCTCCAACACAATTAAGTATACGTGTCAACTGGTTATGCGCCATTGAGTCCGATTCCAGCCTGCTTTTCTTTTTGGATTTGCTTCCATAGCCTTTGTCCAACCAAGAACACACAAGGCAGGAGATGTTTAATTTTGGAGATGTCTCTCCTAGAAGAGTGGCTGTCACCAGCTGTCGTGCCTCATCTGCCTGAGGGTCCTAACGCGAGACTTTTCAGTTTAGCAACAATGAGCTTTACAAACCTTTACTTTAGCAAAGCATTATCAAAAAGTTAACACTTATGCACCAATAACAGGCCATTGATCCACTTTTATTATTGATGTTAGTATCCTATTGTTAGAATGATCATTCATTCCATAATAAAAGATCTTTAACATACTATTAAAAATGCCACAATAAACATTATTTAATAAACATTATAAAAGAAAAGTCCTCAGAATATTCTTTTAAAAAATATTGTGTTCAATTTTTAAATATTTCTAAGATTCATACTTGCAATGTGAAAAGAACAAAGTGCCAAAATAAATAAACCGAGAGTGATCTCCCCTAAACTTTCTCGAATATTTTTATATAACACTACGGGGGATGGCAACTCAGGATATAGACATGATTTTTAATCCATTTTTAAATACTTGAAATTTGACAGAAGGCAGAGAGTTAGATCTTTTACTTACATGTGAAATTTCATTTATCTATCTGAAACAGTACTCAAGTAATAGGCTTTTGAAAAATTGAAAGTAGAATAAGTTCCACTTCCGGTTACCGGAAATCGCTGAAAAGTTGATATAGAACTACAAATTTGATATAATACTTATATATGAAATTTCATCAACCTAGCTGTAACGGTACTCAAGTTATCATGTTCACAGACACACACACATACAGACATACTGACAAAATTGCAAAACTATGTTTTTCCGACTCAGGGAGGTGTAAAACGTCGAGATGTGTGAAAATCTTGTGTTTTTTGAGTGCACAATTACAATATTTCCTCTACTCTTCGTATACAAGAAAGTAAAAAAGGGACATTTTCTCATTTTTTTGCCCCATTGTATTATTTAGAAATTTTTTAGTTTAGTGAAACGAGCATCAATGCATTTTTAAAATTTGCTTGAGGCCGACATATCTGTAATGTACTAGTATATGGATTTAACTGTTTGGACATCTTTATGAATCAGAAATAAAGATTTGTGTGGACAAAATAAATGGAAGACTCCTTACTTCTCCCTGTTGTTGTAGGTACAACATCAAATGGTCATCCTTGAACATGGCATATAGAGACAGCAAATAATTATGGATGGCCAAGTCTTTATTATCCAACTTTTGAACACAAAATTCTAGGTAACGAATAGCTTCATTTCCCTAGAAGAAAAAGCAATTGAAGATAGTGAAATGAAAAGATAATTCTGAAAGAAATGCTCAACAATTGCAAGTAGAATAAAAATTATCACTCAGACATATAGTTAAGGAAAATAACACTAGGGTAAATATATTTTACCAGCTCACTATATAAACAGTGTACTAAGTCTTCTATTTAAATTGGAATAGTTTAAACAGTACCAACTAAGAGATAACTCCAGTACTTAATGTAAAGGAAAGTAAAATTAAAAGAACATTGCTCACTTGCTCACTGAACCTTTTATGGTCATATTGCACTAGAGCAGGTATTAGTTTTTTAGGGTCTAGTTGTTTCCCTTGTTTGATCCAAGCTTCAACAGTTTCTTTAGGAACATACTGCATCAATAAGGGACTGAACTTGTAATAAAGTTCAACATCAGACTGTAAAAATGTTTTTACAAAATTAGCATCAGATTGTAAAAGAAAGTTTTACAAGATTAGTCACCATAAGACTGTAAACTATGGTTAACATTAAACTGGGAAAAAAAATTATAATATTAAGTAAAAATGTGAACACTGTCAGCCTGAAGTTATTTTTGGATGACCTTAGCTTGTATATAACTTTACTCTCAGCTCCCTCAGAGATTATTTTGCCAGCCACATACACAGATCTCTATTAACAGTCACTGATTAGAAAAATATTTTATTCAAAGTCTAACTTGCAAGTCCATTTCTAAATATCTTGACTTAAATTTGAGTAGATGTGTACAGTTTATCAGACTCATAATAATTCTAATAAACTTATGAATTTCTAAAAATTCTAGATGGAAGTTTTAAAGCCATTGGGCTCAACCAGCTTGACTAGGAAGTGACTGACTGGAAAAGTATGTTTCCAGGGACTGTAAGTGTTAAAAAATTTAATTCTACCTGTTTAGTTAACACTTCCAGAGCTCCTTTGTAATTTTCATGTTGAATATGGTGGCCAATCACACGTTCAAAGTCTGTTTAAAAAAACCCCAGATATTATACAAGTTGAACTGTATAGGAAATATGAAACTATTAAATTTATTATATTAGTAGCTGATAATTAAATACTGACCTTTCATGAGAACAGCAAAGAAAACTAAATCTTCTACATCACCATGGCTGGCAATTAAATCATAGACAACACTACGATTGTTACTAACACATTCCTAGGGAGTTTACAAAACTTTGTCTTAAAAAAAGCTGGTAAAAATATTATTATCAAAAATTAAAATATAGAATTATCTACAGATTAATTTACAATTTGTACTATTACATTATACAAACTATAAAAAGAACAATGTTTTTTAACATTTTTCTCCTAAAAGACAACTTAAAATAGGAAAAGAAATGACCATTTTGTATAAATAAGATAATCAATAATTGAGTAGAGACTTTTTAGTTCTAGCTGGAGAGAACAAGAGATAAATATTGCTGAGCAAGAATTTTTACAAAATTGAGAACAAAATTGATTCATGATCAAAGATTATACTTTTAAAAGAAAGACATCTTTAGAAATTATTATAAAGCATCATTAAAAACACACATAGATGTCTATATAGGTGAAACAATAATAACCATATGCATGAGAATAGCAGGCTTAATTTTTCAATTTCAAATAGAAAGTTGCAGGTAGCTAACACAAATACTTATTGCATCACACAACCTTTCAGTCTTACTCAAGCAATTGCTGTGCAATTCTTTAGCTAGAAATTCAAATTTAGTTATATAATTTAAAGCCTACTTTCACTTTTGACTGTCCAAGAAATTTCCTAAAGTCTTCTTGTATCATTTCATACTGTGGGGTCTCATCTTGACCTTGTTCTTTTAACTGGCCTAACTGATTTAGATAGAGTTCTATCATCCAAGTGACCAGCATAGTCATCTGAGTCTTGTCCTAAAAATGGTTAATGTTTAATAAATCCAATTATAGGCATAGAGAATGCACTTTGCGCTATACAAAACCATCATCAAAAATGAATGTCTCAAAATCCAAAACTACTACTGGAAAAAAGTATTAAAGGTACACACTCAAAATTTGTCTGAAAGGGGGTGAAATTTAAAGTGATACTATACAATATTATAAGCTACAGTTGCTGAAATGAACTATACTGTTTAGAGTTATTTGATTAATTACTTGATGAACATTAAAATAAAGGCAATATGAAAAATAAAACCAATCAGGTAGAATACAAACCTGTGGTCTTAAGACAGAGAGCTTCTGCTGGACAAACATTTTAAGAGCATCTTTTTGGGGGAGCCTTATCAACTTGAGTGCTATCTCTTCAAATGAGTTCTGGGTTCGTGCAAACATTGCTGCACTCTCTTCGTATCTTTAAATAGAATAACTCTAGTCCAGTTATTTAACAGTTAAGATACTTTCTTTAATATATTATTTTCAAAATTTTCAAGCTACAAATTAGAATTTTAAGTTTAGTACATAATTATTGGTTTCAGCATAAAAAAAAAGTAAAACAAATATAAGGTACAAATAAGACTTAGTATTAGATGTCTGCTTACATATAGGTCTATATTTTAGAATATCTATTTATGATTTTGAAACTAATTTAAAAAATGTAGATGTGTTGAATAAAATAAAGTTTGAGTAATGTTATTGCAACTTGTCTCCAGTTTAGTTACACTAATAAGTGGTTCACAAACTATTTGAATTTTTTGGTTTGTGAATTTTCAAGCTGCAGTTAAATCATATTTTCACCCTATATTGCTATTGCAGTTGTATGTATTCTGGTCTGTGCCAACTGGTGCTTGAGTCAATGGGTTATCCATGTTTCTGTTTGCAGCAATGCTTCCTGACATGTCCATAAATGTAACCATAAATGTGCAGTCCATCAGAAGTTTGCCCATATAAGGAGGAAAGGGGGGCAGGAAGAAGCCAGTTGACATGTAGCACACTCTCAGTTTGAGTTCAGTGCATGAACTTTAATGTATTCTTTGAAGCTCCCTAAATATTTAACAAAGTCAAAAAATTTGCGCGCAAGTCAAGAGAGTGTGATGTTATAAATTTCAACTTCACAATGTGACCAGTGGTACCAATATGACCGTCTGGATGTATCCAACATACACTCGACCGGCAGCAGTAGGATAAATGTATTTATGGTTATATGTTAAGCGCAAAATCAGTGTGTTGCATTTTAGCCACAGTCTGCATTTTATTTTTTGTTCACTCCTTAATATTTGTTCTGTTATTATGTTTTTGCAATAGCTTTCACATATTTTCTGCTTAACACATAGGTGATCAATAACACAAAAATACTGACGTGATATGCACGTTGTAATTTAACTCCTATACTTTTAATGATACTGACCTCTTAAAAAATGTTTGGCTACAAAATAAAAATATCAGTTTGCAACAAAGAATTGGTTACATAAAAGTTTATAAAAATGAGTCTTCACTTACTTGCCATTGCTAAATAGGTATTCAGCTTGTTTAGTTAAAACTTTGTCTAAATGCATTAAGTTATCCTGCAATGACAAGTAAAAAAATTTTTAATGGGCTAAAACTAAACCAATGGTGAAAGTCAATTCTATTGGAAAAGTTGTACATACCTTGCAAAATTCTTTGGCTAAGTCAAATTCATTCTTTTCTAAATACATTTGCCACACATCCCTGTATGATAATATATATATATATAGGCCTATATATATATATATATATATATATATATATATATATATATATATATATATAGGCCTATATATATATATATATATATATATATATATATATATATATATATATATATATATATATATACATACATATATATAAATATAATATATAAATAACATACATACCTAAATGGTGGATTACATAATGAAATGTTAACCAGTGTTGTGGAGTTTATAATGAAAATTGAAGGAGCTGGAGCAAGAATTTAAAATATGACTACAGACACTTTGGAACACGTCACTGTAAAAAGTAATTACCAAAACATTCTTTATTTACCTGTCCTCCTTAGTAACTTTATATTTAAATACAGAATTCGCTGTGTAGGTCCAAATAGTTCCACGAATTGCATCTTTACAAATACCCAACAGTTTTCCAACTCTCTAGATGAGAATTTCCACATTGATAAATACATGATAAAATCACAAAAATGTATATGTATAAAGAATGTATGATTGTCTGTCTGCGTGTATGTGTGTCTTTTAAACAATACAACACATTTCATCAAATCGCACAGAAACTTCAGGAGGTTAAGAGAATACTCCAGGGAAAGTTTCTGCCATTAGCAGCCGAAGTGCTCAAAATTGGGAGTACCCCTTGCATCAGTGGTGGTCCCAGAACACCCTGGACTCCCCATGACCACTATGGCGCTTTTGTTTTGAGCACCTTACACTAGGGATTCAGTAGGGTACTTGCACCAATGACTAAATCAAACGAGGCTCATCCACTGGCGCTCTGGCAGTAATGTATCAGGTGGTATCCATGTACTCCTACAATGCCCCATTACGACAATTCAAGAGGTTTTTCAAATTAAAATAAAACATGTTTCAATAAAAATTCACAATGTAAATTGAATGTTATAACAAATGTCCTTGAAATTAGTTTTTTCTAATATCATTACAACGCATGCTAGTAATGACATAAAACAATGAAAATATTAGTTACACTAATAACAGTAGCAGTGGTTAATGGCTTAAGGAACCACAAAAACACATGATCCAGTTACACATACACAAAAATATTTTTACAAAAAAAAAAAAACAACAGCAAAAAACATTTCGCTCATCATTCAACTAATTTAATCTATAATGATCTAATTTTTTTCTCTTATTTGCACTAAATGATTGCTGAAAAAGTGAGTTAGTTAGACCTAGTAATCATTTCCTTGTGTTATCTGACTTGGCTCATCTTCTCTCCCAATCACTAACAAAGAGAACTGTCTCATCCATGTCTTATCTTTTAAGGCTGGACATAGTCCCATGTCTTTTTTTTTTTAAATGGACATAGACTACTAGATTTTTGTGTCAGAAACTGGACCCAGGAGAAGAAACTTACACACAATATTTTTGGACCTAATTTTTTTGGTGTCAATATGTAAGAGAAAATAGAGGAAGGTAGAAACAGGATGAAATTAGGAATAGTCAAAGTTCTACTGATATGCAGAAGAAAAAAGCTGCCCAAGTACTGGAACAAAAAATTTAGTAATTGATTGTAAACAACTTACATCAGGATACTGGTCATCAAAAACCAATTCCTCGTTTAAAAAACATATGGCCTTCATGCTGTAAAAATACACAACAAAACAAATAGTTAACCTTGACCACGAGTTGGAAAATCTTCAGGTAACGTGGAATTACATTTTATTTGTCAATAAGAGGTACGTAATATATCAAAGACAAAGAGGTCAATATAATTTCATACACCCACTGGTTGGGTTATAAAGAAGTATGAGTAAGTTTTATTATGTCTGACCTTTCTTGATAAAGGACCAACATGTGGAATTCTGTAAGAACCATGGAGGTAGGTGTTGTTTTTTTATCTTCTTCATTTTTTCTATAACTGTTCAAATAAAAGAAACACACAGTACAAAACATATGGCAGTGATAAGGTTCCTAAGACTACAAATAAAAATAGTGGGGAATATCTTTACACAGTATTAAAAAAAATTAATAATACTTTACTTTTGAACATTTAGTTCATATCCCAAATTACCCATTGATAAAATATCAAAATCTTATAACTCCAGGCAGTTTTGGTTTGCAATAATGGGACATTTTGTTTAACTGTAGATTTTGGTGAGCTTCTTTACTACTTTAAATGAGGCATAGCCACAGCAACATGTTGATGAAAGAATCCACTAGGAGTACCTCTGTACTCAGGATATTCCATTACATCAATGTAAAATTGATTCAGTAACAAAACAGGTTTTGTTTGCAAGGAAAAACTTATTATATTGCTATTGCTTCACTCACAGATTAACAGTAGGATAAGTAAATAAAAAACAAATTGGGCAATACACTTAAAATAATTACTACAAGCAATACTCAAGATCAGTTAATATTTAATAATTCCCCGGATTTTTCCTAGTCTCTGTTTTTTTCTATTGGGAATTTGAGAGAACTTTTCATCTGCATTTTAAAACGTGTTGTTGATCCATCTCGTTAGAAGTTTTCATCTATGTCACTGGTTAGTTTGCTACAAAGTTCTTCATGGTATATATATAAATACATTATTTTTTATATGATGTGGTGGTTTTCCAGGTCTCTATTCCTTAAAGTAAGACTGGAAGATTTTTATTTGTATCTTGATTGTTAACTTTGTTGAAAGCTCACTTTGCCTGTCATGATTTCTATTTCTACCTCAGTCCCTAAACAATACTGACAAGGTAGATACAATTTTTCAAGTCTCCTAGTGCTTGCTACATTTATTTTCCCCTCTATCTTAATGTATATCTGTATGGTTTTCTCTTCCATTTGTTATGGTGTGTGAAAACAGGGGCAGCCAAATCCCGGTCTTCTAGGTTAAGACAGATTTATAATCAGGTTAAGTGAAAAGTACTCATTGAATAAGCAATTCCACAATCAATACATCCACTTCCCAAGTTTAATTAGATTTTTTGACCATTTGGTGAGAGGGCAGGGTGAATGCCAGGCCAAGAAAATTACAGGGTAGTTAATTGTTTTTTGTATGTGTATAGTATGTGTTTTGTTTCGTGGCTGAGGAATGGGTGTCAGGTAGGAGAATTGTGTAGTTTGGCAGTTTGAATGAGGATGTACAAGAGTAGGGGTAGTTAGGGTTATAGTTGTTTGGCAGATAGATTTTACATGTATTTTCATATTTCACTCTATATTTCTTTAATATATTTCTGTCACTTATGCTGAATTAGACATGTAGAAACTTTTCTTAATCCTATTAACAACATTAATTTAACAACCAACATTGTCACTGGAAATACCATCATAATAGTTACCTCATTAGTTTAGCATTAGAAAGTATTGAACTAGGTCCAGCTGTTCCTTTCATATTTATATCACCATAGTAAACACCAGGACCTGAATACAAACCAGAGTTTAGTTTTCAACACAAACCAATTGTCTTTTCACACACAAATAAGCTGTGTTGTGATTAATATAGTCTTAATGGTATGTATAAATGGTTCACAGAGCAAAACACACATAAATATGCAACAACTACAAGCACAACAGACATTATTTATCATGGAGACCAAAAAATAAAAGTGGAGAGCAAGATGCTTAAAAACACAATTTAGAAAACACCTCACAACTATTTGTATCTTGGGCCACTGCTTATAATCTTTGCATGTATGCTTCCTTTAAAAATAAACAGAGATTGATCTCCCCTAAACTTTCTTGAATATTCATAATAATACACAACACTACGGGGAATGGCAACTAGGGATATAGACATGATTTTTAATCCATACGGACAAAATTGCAAAACTATGTTTTTCCGACTCAGGGAGATTTAAAACGTTGAGATTTTTTTTTTGCACGATTACAATACTTTCTGTATACTTTGTATAAGAGAAAGTAAAAAATCCATTAAGTAGTAATTATTAGAAAAGCAGAATGAGGAATTATGTACTTCCTACTACTCAAAAGAAGGAACGGAGTGACCTAGCGGTAGAGAGCTAATCTGTCTTGAGTTCGAATCCGGGTTCAAGTTAATAGACCATCCCTGAGTCCACCCAGCTCTGATGGGTACATAATTCAGGGAAAGTAAAGGTGGCTGGGCATAGTGCTGACCACACTATCCCTTCATTTGCCGAGGTCACAGATACAGATGAACTCTACTTCACTTGCCCCATAGACGGTCAGGTTTGGAAGGGGAACTTTTTTACTTGTCTGATTTATGACATGTTTTATAAGGATTGAATGACCATGATTGTTATGATGCATGTTCTAAGTGTAGATCGGTGCGAGTGAATGTTGGTGCGAAAGGTATGTTAAAGCATGGAATGATGTGTATAGTGACAGTGACAATTTTGTGTAGAGGCTGGTTGCTGGATAGTGTGTGTGAGGGAGTCTTCTCTTGGCGAAAAAATGTATGTGAGTCAAGTATGATAATAAATCTAAGAACAGGCCCAGGCAAAATGAGATATGATACTGTGCAGGTGCTCAGTGAGTGGCTATTAAGGTCAGCCTGAGTTGTAATTTATGGCTGGAGATGACTTAATTAAATGTAACACCTGGCGGGGCCGAAGTTCTTACGGTGGACTCTATATCAGGGGACGGACAGTAGTGACACAGTGCAGAGTGAGTAGACTAACAGGGATGTCTTTTGTGAGCTGGTCTGTAGACTTAGACTAGAATTGACCGTTAGGGACAAGTAGGGTAGCCACTTTAACTTCTTATTTTAGTATTTTTCTTATTGTGTTAGATATGACAGTTCTGATGTTTGGTGATGCACTTATATCGTGGCATTAAAGTGTAGAAATAGATGCTAATTGTGTTTATTCATTATAAGTTCTTGTTCACGAACACCCCACCTAGTTCTAAAGGACAAGGGAAGGGGGACGTAACAACTGTTTGGAAGAAATGTTTGGTAGACATGAGTGAAATTTAGGTTAGTTTGCAATTTACCACCCATAACAGATGATTGAATGTTAACCACAAGGCATGAAGTTATATAAAAGTTTGTAAGGAAGTAAATGTAAAGTAACTTCTAACCAATGTCTAAAACTCAAAACAAGAGATCCACAAAATGATGCTAAAAAGCTTCAAACAAGGTGACTATTTTGCAACTGTTTAAAACCACACAAAAAAAAAACCACTGCTTAATTACATAATTAAATCAAAGATGAATAAGCTGTAAAACATGTAACAATGGGATGAGGTTATATTTCACATTAGCTGGCTTTATGAATAGTAACTAGATGAAATAATGTCAATTAATGATAAATAAATTTTTAATTTGAGTTTTGATTTAAGCCTAATCTTTTTTGGGTGACCTGCCATTACCAAAATTATTTATTGGCTTGGGGTGCTGATACCTAATTGGCAGAGAACTGTGATTTAAAACTAAAAGAATATTTCTTACTACTGAATACAGCCAATCTATCCCTATAGTGTTAAAAATGGAAAGCAGTAAAGCGATTTTATGATCTACTATGTTGTAAAACTTGTACTATGATTTCAATAAGGAAATAGCAAAATTTCAAATTTATTATGTAATTATAAGGTAAGAATGTTGTAATGTTACGAAATTTTTGTTTACCAGCCATCCATGAAAACTTGGTTGCCTGTTGCCTAAACTTAGGGAAAAAGAGATGAAGTTCACTGTACCCAAAATCCCCTGGCAGTTCAATAAACTGTGGGTGCTCTAAAATCAAACATAAATTATATCAAATTAATAGTACACACAAACACACTAATATACAAAAAATTACAAGGAAGTCATAACAATGTTACCTGTTCCTGATTCATATTGTTGGAATAATGAAAAGAACATAGGAGGTTCAGCAGATTGTGATACTTGACCAATGAACTGATAGAGCCGGCTGCAGATTATATAAAAATGTATTCTTTATGTAATACAGCTGGGCTATGTAGATATTCAACTGGATGAATGCCAAATTTATAACAAGCAATTTCAAGAGCAAAATTTATGTTTATAAAATTCTCAAATATTAGTTACATTTTTAGTATGTTTCCTAAAGGCTACAAAAAAAGGACTTTCTTTATGATTTTCAAATAAAATGTGTACATAAAAACAAAAGGCTCCCAGAATGGATTGCTGTTCATTCTATGAGTATAAGGTAACATTGTACTGAAATGGAATGATTATGCTGTTCCTGGAATTATGTAAAACAGACACTGTTAAGTTATCCAGCTTACCCTGGTGTAGTTGCAAGAATATAATACTTGTAAAAATTCATATCGCTTGATGGCATGCGATCAAATTCCAAACCTGTTACCTTTCCATGAAGAGTGAATAGCTGCAAAAAAAAAAATCATTTTAATACAACAATTTTGAAAATTCCAATTTAATGGCTTTGAAAATTATGAAAAATATAAACATGCATTTTTCTTCTAAATGTGAACTCACAAACAGTGCACATCTAATCTACTAAACTTAGTTTTTAAAATGTGACTGTATTCTTTATTACACTATTTTAAATGTATTATTCAATGTGAGGTATTGAAAACTTTTCAAGCTAGACACACCTGTTTCAGGTACTGATCCATACTTCCTTGAAAGAATCTGTTGTCTTCATATGCAGATAATTCACATTCGAAAATGAGACCTAGAAAACAGGATAATTTCCATCAAAGAAATTAAAATCTATTCTCTTTGGCATAAGTGATAATGTAAAACTGACATAATCATTGAGGAGGAAATACAACAGGTACTAGGATGATAGTGTTTCTTTTTTTATTTCTAATCCAAAACAAATATCTATACATCAACCGTAAGGGGTAAGGCTCCGGTAAAAAAAAACTTTTTTAATACTCGTTAGAAAACAGTTATTTCTTTACAGCTTTATTAAGATACATCCGCATATGCATTTCCACTAAAAAAATTGGCGGAAAAATCTTGGTTACTATGGCAATGGCGGCCATCTTGAAAAATTAACCCCTTCGTAGGTTTTCCAACATTCATAAAATATTACATTTTAAGCCAAATAAACAATTCATATTTTCCTTCCATATTCTGGGGCACTCAGCTAAAAATTTTAAGTGCATATCTTCAAACTAATTTTTTATGAATTTTCAAATTGTGGGTCCATTAAAAACACTAGTTTTAATGCCCCAAAATTAAGTGTTTTGAATGGAATGCAACCCAAAATGGAACTGTATCCTGAACTGTTAATTTAACCCGCCAAGGAAACTGAACAAGAAATGGTAGTTTGACTGTAAGTACTAATTTAACCAGAACGGGATATTTGAACCGAAATTTGAACCTGAAAAAAGGAAACGGAAATTTATCCAGAAATTATCATTTTATCTGGAAGCAGAAATTTTACAGAAACAACCGGCAAACTAAAGTTAACTGGAAAAGAAAATTCAACCGAAATGGGAACCTTTTTAGGAACTAAATTTAACCAAGAACAGAACTTTATCCCGAACCTGCATTTTAACCTGATCGACAAATAATAACCTAAATAAGTAACCTAAATATATATTTTATTGTTGATGTATTTTTATGTATATCAACATCTATTTCTAATTTTAGACAAATAATGTAGGCATTTTATTATCTTGTGTCTCTGTTATCAATGATATAATTGGTATTGTGCATCCTTTTTGACATTCTATTTTAAATTCCAGTTTTTATTCTACAATTAAAGACATCATAAATAGTTTAAAACTTTTAGTAAGTTTGTTTTATAGTGATATTTTCCTAATTGTTCGTGTAACGTGATTATTTTTGCCAGTGTTTCTTATATTTTCTTAAGAGTGTTTTTGTCACACAAAATGGTGCAAATTTTGAGAAAAAGCATTAGTTTACAGGTTGCATAATTTTATGTAGAAAAACACATTAAATTTCCACTTTTTTCTAAGGCAGGCGGTTACATCTCTGATGAAATAATTTGTTTTACAAGTAGCAAATTTCTTAAACAATTTACAGTATTTCATTTTCAAGGTTTCTTTTAAACATAAGTTTAAAAACCATATGTTAAATTGTGTAACCAAATAATTATTTTGTGTCAAACCCTAAATGATGTAAATTGAATATTTAAATAACAATGCTTTTTGAATGTGTAGGTTTAATAAAAGTTAAAGTAATATAAAGAAATATAATTGACAGGGCATTTCTGTTCTCTGTACATTTCTGTTTCACATTTATAATAGTCCTTCAAATTAATTCACCTTTTCTTTGGCAATACAAAATAGAATAATAATAAAAATAAATTAAATCCCTAGCTCAGTGAAAAAGGGAAATAAGTTACATCTTTGCTATCCTAAAAAGCCATGCTCATATAGTGAAGTAGCCTATATTCCACATCCTAGCCACTGTCTGTAGATGACGACATGTTAATTAGCCAAATTTTACCCACCAACCCATATCGTCATTAATAGCCAAAGTCATAACACAAATGTCTTAAGAAAGTTTGGTCCTCAACCACTCTTTACAATAAACAATTTTTATTCATGCAACGCCTGACTAGCTTTATGAAACATAATGGGTAAAATTGAGCGATAGCGTCCTTGCACGATCACTAGTAACACATTCACAGGTCACAGTTAGTTTATACTTCGTAAACTAACAATTAAAAAAAAAAAATCAGTTGGCAGAAAAATGTCGGTTTTGTTTTCAGCCGAAACTTTCTGATATTTTTTGCCAGAAATATTTTCTGAAATGGAAAAAGCGGATTTCTAGAAAAAAGAGGTAAAGTTGCATCTTTGCTGCATTCAAATAAAATAAAGTTTAAATTTTCAATATAGTCAGCATATTTTTCTCAACAAAGCTATGTATGTTTAAGTTCAACACCTATTGCTGAATATACTGATCTCATAGTCTATGGAAAAATTTCGACAGATAAACAGATAGAGAAGTGAGCACATGGGCTTTTATATATTAGGATGTTATTTCAGATTACTTAGCATTTCTTTTGGAAATAATAAACCATCTTTTTGTTACCTTTGCTTGTTCCCAGTAAAATAGCACTAGTTGTGTTATCATTTGCATTTTGCCAATTCCATCCGACTGATTCTATGAGATGTCCCTGAAAAATATTCTTAAAATTAATTGTATGAAATTTTCAATGATGAGGATGTAGATGAGTATAAACCCTTAAACTCAGAAACAGAACTTTCTTCAAAAGTTTTTTTTTAAATGTTATTAAGGAAAAGAATTATACAAGACAAAAAATGTCTGCAAAGCTTTCCTTACTTTTAACTTCACAATTGGTTTTGGTTTCTTCCAATTTCTAGAAAGATAATAATTGTCTTGTGAACTCATAGACACAATAAGATGACGTCCAGTGGGATCCAAAAAAATTTTGTGAACCTTATCTTCCACAGCTCGAGGCAGTTCCACTTCTATGAAATAAGAAAATTTTTATCAATCAGCATCTTTTCCCATTCATTCCCAAGACGTTTGGAGCAGATGAAGTAGAGTTCATCTGGTTTAATGACATGATTGTTTTGTAGTCAGCACTATGCCCAGCCGCCTTTGTTTCCTTAGCTTGAGTCAGGGAACCATTAGAGCTAGATAGACTAAGGAACGACAATACATAATTTTTAACTAATTATTCTTTTTCTAAAAGTAGTTATATGGATCATATAATGAGCATAACATTATTTATGTGTGACGCAATAAAGAAAATTATCACAAAATTACAATCAAATAAAACTATTGGTTTACAGAAAGTAAAGAAAAACTAACAATTGATCAAAGAAGCTAAAAAATGTAAAAAATTTAACTAGCTAAAACAAATGAAAGGAGTGTTCTATGTATCATGCTTCAACTATATAAGATCTAAATCTGGAGACACAACAAAAAGTACGAGCTTCAAAATCAATTATTTACAGTATGACATGGTGTGGTCGTTGACCAAATCATTTGTATTTGTTTAGAAATCAACACTTGTTTTATCTCACCATCTGGCTGGTCTGGGTGTTCCAAATCAAGGCGAAGTAATGTGTTACTACTCATTGCTATTACAAGAAAATTATTTGCCACCACCAAGTCAGTAATTGGGTCAGGGGGTCTGAAAATACAACACAGAAAAAATATTGTGTAATTAAATAAGCATTCTCTTCAATAGGTATTTTTTTAAAGTATGTAAAATTTCTGCATCCTGATAATATTTAAATAACACTAACCATGCAAATGTCACAAACGTTTGAGTAAGTAATTTTATAAAAGTTGAAAAAAAATTGCTAAAACGAGAGAAGATTAGTTTGTGTACCGGCGAGATGGTGGTACACAAACTAATTTTCTCTTGAAAATCTAATCTACTTAGAAAATGAAAAGCTGAGCATACTTAAAATTGACTTTCTTCTTATTAAAAATAGGTACGTCAGCATCTAATCGAGCATCTATGAATCCAGGACCAATCTGAAAGCAATAATCTTTAATTAGGCCAAATTGTCTAGTATAATCACTCATAGTAGTTATTTATTATGGCAGAATACAAATGAACTGCCGGGTATATGCTGATTACTAAACACACATGTTATGGTCCTTTACAGATAGGTTTTTCACAGAGGCCAGTGCAGGGCCTGGCTGGGACGGCTAACACTATCTAAAAAATATAAAAGTATTAAAAAAATAGTAAACATTTCTATAGCCAGATTGCACTCTCCCTTACTGTTATATAACAATATAAATGGAAGTTTAGGGGAGATCACCCCCGCTTTGTTTACTCATAAAAGTAAAGAAAAGAAAATGCTGGCACCTGGATCTATTTTCTGTCTTATATCAATACATTATAATTATTACAAGATACAAGAAACTAACCACATCTCCAGGAACTTGATTTGGTCTCCTTATTGATGCTTTGTTAGATTCTTCTTCATACTGGTCTAAAATTGAGGCCATTGTTTGGTAGAATCACTTTTATTCTACACTCTCTACACTACCTTAAGCCTTAACTAGCAAAAATAAAATAACACAATACATGTTCAATAAATTTAAAGGTATTAAATATCAAAGCTAAACATAACAATTAAGTATACTAACTCAAAATGTAAAACATTAACAAAATTAAATTAAATGCAAGTAATAAAAGTCAATTTTGGTTTTACACCGTTCATCTGATAGCCATGAGACTTTGGGGAGTTGATTAGAACACTACCTGGAAGGGTTCTGCAAAAAAATATTTTTTTAATTTCGCAAGGGCAGCGCCACGGGAGGGTGCGATTTTTCTCTACGTGGTATTTAAAAATAATAAAAGTGAATTGCAGTGACACTGTTCACACAATCGCCATGAAACTTTGGGAAGTTGCTAAGAATATTTCTGGGGAGGTTTCTGCTGGAAAAAAATTCAAATTCGCAGGGTCGCGCCCCAATAGGGCGCAATTTGTTTTTTTTCTATATACGGTATCTAAAACTAAAAGTCGATTGCGGTTTTACACCGTTCATTCAATCGCCATCAAACTTTGGGGAGTTATTTAGAACACTCCAGGGAAGGGTTCTGTAAAAAAAATTTTTTTATCTTCGCAAGGGCGGCGCCACGGGATGGTGCGATTTTTCTCTATATACGGTATATGAAAATAAAAGACGATTGCGGTTCGTCACAGTTTATCAGAGTGCCATAAAACTTTAGGTTTCTGGGGTGGTAGGGGAATCTAATTTTGCATGGGCGGCCCACCGGCAGAATGCGATTTGGCACCCTGGTCTTTCCGGTGAGCACTATGGCGACTATCTTCGGTCTAAACAGTGTGATTGACAATGGATAGGATGGGGCGTTACAAACTCTCACTAAATTGAATCAGGCATGCGATTTGGCTACAAACAAATATCTCAGTTTCAGCCCCCAAAGGCTCACGTGGGCCACTGGGGGCTATGTAATACGTTTTATTTTCATAATCAGACAAATTAACCATGGTTAGATTATTAACTGGGATGTTTCTTTTTGTCTGTAAAAAAATCCAAACAATTTCGTCCCTTTTTGAATAATGCAATTAGCATTTATTTTTAGACAATCCAATCAGACATTGAGATTTAGCATGTAATAATAGACAATTAGTAACGCTAACATATTGCATCAGTCACACTGATATTTAAAACACGTCAAATAATTTTTTTCGTGTTAAAGAAAAAATCCTGTTCATCTGTGTCACTTTAGCGCAGTACGCAATCTGCATCATCGTTAACAGGATGCTATTTGGCACGATGGCGCCTGTTAGTTTTAAGGAACTAGGGGCCTTAAGCGGCGCCTATGCGGTAGTGTAAATTTTACTTTATCTACTAGATCTATCTTACGTCTTAAAGTTATCATCTAGACTTCTAGCAGCTAGAGTAAGGGGGGAATTTTTATACCAGTGTCTGATAATAGAATCTTCTTTAAAAAGGGGGTGTTAGGTTACTGAAAGTTACTAAATACACACACATGGCTGGCTAATGTCAATGCTAACCCTGTCCCTAACCCTAGCCTTAACTCTAGTAATACATACATTATTTATTACATACGCCTAACTCTAATTTCTAACCAAAAAAATATAATTAGTAGAGATTACAATACTAACAACCCAACACACTTATTTTAAGGAAGAGTCTATTTTTTTTTATATTAATAGGCCTATATTAAATTATTATCGAACATTGGTATCTAAAATTATCCTGAGTACTACTAGCTAGCCCTAGTCAGTTCAAGCCTAGTTTTAGATTATCTAGATCTCGATCTAGACTCTCTAGACTAGTCTAGACGGTAGTCTAGACCACTCTAGAGTTAGAGTCTAAGTCTAGCTAGACAGAGTCTAAACTCTAATTCTAAGTCAAAGATCTAGATCTAGGCCTATATCTAGATTTCAGATTTAGTAGAGTTAACTAGAATCTAGATCTATCTTAATTTAAACGTGCGGCCTAATAAATAGCGGGTCGTTTGAAACCGTCATTAATAATTTTGACACAAGCTTGCGGTAGCATCTTTTTTTAATTTTTTTTTACTTCAGTCGATAAAAAATAAATAAATATGGGAGTCCATTTTGAATAAGTCACATGACCAAGAAAAGTTGAACCAAGATCGGTTAGACAAAGTTAGTACTTGAACTCGTAGGCCTAATCAATGTTTCTCTCTGGGCTTAGGCCTATTGTTTTAAAAATCATGGGATAAGGCCTGCACGCAAATAACATTTACTTAGATCTAGATCACCCTGACAATAATATGAAATCAAGAGAATTAAAATGCCACCAAATAAACTGTAGGCCGTAGGACTATGGGGCTAAAATTATTTTATGCGAACATTCTGATAAATGAAGACATTCGTAAAATGCCAATATTTCGATATTTTGGCCTTTTCTGTTGGCCTCTAGATTCTAGGCCTACACTATTACTAAATTGCCCGGAAGGATGCTACGTTATGATGAGAGACTATTACGCCAAACAAGACCTAGAAATCTAATTTTGATTAATAAAATAGATAATTAAACAAATACAAAAGGTAGACTATAATTAATCTATATATTATTGTCACAGATATACTTCTCTTTATCTAGATTCTAGATCAGTGAAACAATATTTAAATATTTTATTAGATTAGGTTTAGGCCTCCTAGACCTAGACCTCTAGCTAGTCTAAGAGTCTAAGACTAGATCTAGATCTAGATCTAGATCTAGAAGAATAGTTATGAATAGTACTAGAATCTAGATCTAATAGTAGAATCTAGATCTACATGCTAATAGTTACAGTAACATATAAATACTATTACTATATAAATAAAACTATAGGCCTACTTAGTTACTTAGACTAGGGATTTTGGTAAAAAAAAAACACTAGGCCTAATCATCATATAAAAATAAAAATTAGCCTACATAATACATAATAATACATATTCTTGTAGAGCTCAACTAATCTAGATCTAGAAGATCTAGATCTAGTCTATGAAAACAAAAAAAGATTTTCTGTCTAGCTCAAATATTTTTTTTTAGCGAATTTTTTTGTGAGGGGTGGAATCCCCTTGTTTTTTTTTTTTTTTGAGTGACAAGTCATGGTATTGGGGGTATTGGTATACCTGAATAAATTGAGCATAGTTATTTTACTTGCAGTTGTATTTTGTCCATATTTGCAGAGCTTAGCTAGAATGATATATATATAGAACTTGTAGGCCTAACTGCTGTTGAAATGAATAAAAATAATAGATCTAGATATTGAAAATAGACTAGAATCTAGATAGATAGATTTTGAAATCTAGATTAACAAATTTAAAAAATAGTGGTTAGGCCTGAATCTATATTCTATAGTAGAGAAAACAGTTGAAGGAACTCTATAGGAAATAGGTCTATATTAATTATTATAGAAGTAGGCTCTACCTTCATCACAGAGGTGTAGCGATGGGGGGGCAGGGGGGTACATATGTCCCCGGGCGCCAACCTTAGGGGGCGCCAAAATGGGTTGAAAAAACAAATTAAAATGCTATTTTAGCTTCATTTTTGCATTATAAATAGTTTGATGGGGGGGGGGGTGCAAATTGAGAGTTTGTCCCTGGGCGCCGGGAAGTGTTGCTACGCCTCTGCTTCATCATAGTGTACACAGCTGGCTCTCCTTTATGTTAGTCTGTATCAGTGTATGATCTACAAATACCATCAGTGTTACTTTCACTTTCAGACTTTTTCCTCCCGGGGGGGGGGGGGGGGTTGGTGGGAGGGGTTGGACACTGGGAAAAAAAATGTTTCTATAGGGCCTATAAATTCTATTCGTTGTAGGGGACGGTAGACGTGTTTCGGGGTGGGTGGTGTGGGCTCTCTCAATCTATACCATACTCCCCAGTCATTATAAATCTGTTTAACTTGTTTTATTTTGCATGGAAAGGTTTAAATTTAAATAGTATTGTTGTAGGTAGGCCTATAAGTGACATTATAATTTGTTAAGTCACATCAAGTCTGTTAAGTCATATCAAGTTTAAGCCAAACAAGGTATGAAATGTTAGCGCTATTTTTTGTACCTGTTAAACGTTGTTTTGTTTATAACTTAGGTATTGCCATTAAAATCATAAAAATGTATACATTTTGTACAGGTGAAAAGTTTCATAAGCTTTGAATTTGAAATATTTCAGAATTTTTTTTACACGTGTGGACATCAACATCCTGTAAATTTTCTCTCAGTTCTAATGCAAATGTTTATACATTTCAGCAGCGTTTATAGGAATGTAAAATGTAAATTTAGTCGTTTCTGTGGATCAGTTATGAAAATAATTTATTCAGGAAAAGTTAAGATCTTTTGAAAAAGTCATCCTTGTGGTTAGATAACAGTTTATTATTATATATTTTTTACAGATTATATATCATTTTACTGGAATCAATCTACATGATGTGTAATATCAATTCCCTCATTTGAGGGCTACTCACTGAAGGATTAAAATACAAAAATCAACATGTTGAATCTTAGTAAAACTGAATTACCAAGGAAAAGTGAGTTTTGATTAAATTTTAATTTTAAAGTAAAAAATATAAAGTTTGTCAAATTTTTATCTGTATGTATAAAACTATGAAAGTATGTCTGCGTGTTTGTCCTAATGCAACACTACACTTTTCATATGATCACCTTCAGGTAGTTGTATGAAAATTCTCCTGGGATGGCTTCCATGAGCACTATTCATGGCACCTATGGTAGTTTTAAAGAGTGCAAGATATGATGGGCTACTATATTCTTTCACTTAATTGAATCGGACTACTATATTCGTTCACTTAATTAAATCAGGCTACAATTTTGTTTCACTTAAATTGGACTACTATATTTGTTCACTTAATTGAATCAGACGCATGCTCTTGTGCCCTGGTAGTGTGCGATTTTATAAGATGCTGGTGGAGGTGTAGGTTCAGTGTAGTGTGGAGGAAATAGGCTAAGGAGCTTCATCTCGCTCACTTACTCTTGGTAAATGCTAAGTTCATTCTGTCACTTAATCCCTAAACTTCATGGAACTGAAACATATTTGAACCTAAATGTTACTATATAATTTTTGTTACTTTAACTTAATTTTTGTCTCTGCTTTTCTCTTCGCTGGTCTTTGCTTTTTTCGCCACTTTTCCATTCAAGCTTTTAAATAAACCTGTCAAAGGAGGTTTGTTTTTTTCAGAATTGAGTTGGGTAAGTTGCAAAATTTTCAGAGTGTTTCTTTTCCATGAACAACATTAAACCAGCTAATCCAGTTACTCGTATCTCAAAGACCTGACAGCAATTATGTGAATGCTTAATTAATTTTTGGAGGATGAATTGAAGTTCGGTATACAAATACAATTTATCAAGCTATTAAATGCACATTGTTCATGTTCATTTGGTGTGCAATTGTTGAGTCTTTTCCAGATAAGCCCAGCTACTATTGCAAAAAAAATGCACACGCGATAAGTTAAGCCCTGGCACTCTTTGCCACTTTCAGTTCAAGCATGCACCAAAAGATATACCTTTTCTTGCAACTGATTAATAACATGTCAAAACTAAAAGTATAAGTTTCATATCCTCTTTTTAAAAATTTGTCTTGGTGGTGGGGGTTAACTTTTTTGACTGGGCTTATCTGGAAAAGATCCTGATTTATTTTAGTCATCCAATTCAACTGTATTAATACATTTTAAATTTTCAGAAAAAAAAAACATTTTTATAACCAGCGTTTATATAATTATGCCTTTGTTTTTCCTAATGTAAGTTAGGTACCCATCAGCGATGGGTGGACTTGTTGACATTCTACTGACTTGAACTCTGATTTGAACTCGAGACTTTTGAGTCAGCAGTCTAGCTCGCTACCGCTAGTCCATGCTGTCTCATCTTATATAAACAATTCTGCATTTATAGCGTTTACAGAAAATGAATGGTTTTCTTAAAACTTTTTGTTATTAAAAGGTTTTGTATTGTTTTTTTTTCACTTATCTGATTTAATAAATGTCAGGGGAATATTGTGTTCTGGGGCTTCTTCTGCAATCCCAATACTCTCCAGTTCAGATCCTGGATCCAAGGTGACAGGTGTAGAACTTATCATTACTAAATCCCCACATGCCATTGTGCAGTTTTAATCATGGACTATTTGGCAGATTGGCACTATTTGCCTGACGTGCGTGTCTGCCAAATTTGAAGTGCCTGCAGCACTGGAAAGTGCCCTAATCAGCACTTGACCACTTTTCTTTAACCTTCTATTATACGAAGTATAGAGGAAGTATTGTAATCATGCAAAAAACAAAATCACATTTTAAACCTCGAAAAAAACCGTCTGTGTGTGTGTGTCTGGGGGTACGATAACTTGAGTACCATTACAGCTAGGTTGCTGAAATTTCATATATAAGCATTACATCAAATTTATATTTCTGTATCAACTTTTCAGCGATTTCCGATAACCTATAACTTGAGAACTGTTTCTCATAGATAAATGAATTTTCACAAATAAATAAAAGATCTAATTCTCTTTTTTCTATCAAATTTTGAGTAATTACCAGTTACCAGAAGTAGTATTTGGCACTATTTCTGATTTCTCAAAAAATGCATATGAAATTATTAAGTACCAATGTTCCGCACTATTATACACACATTGTTTGCTGTTCACTTGGTGCGCAATAGATTTTTTTCTACAAGATTCTATTTTAAACATTAAATTAAACATAGTGTTAAATAAGAATATTTGAGAAAGATTAGGGAAATAACTCCCGCTTTATTTTATATATAGATAGTAGAGTGACTCAATTTATTTCAATTTTTATTGTAGGGGAGGAAAGCTAAAAGGAATCAACACTGAATCAGCCTACTGACTATTGTTATTTCAATTTCAGCTTATATTTACTGTCATTTTTTTTCTTTTCTTGACGAAATTTTATTGTTCCTGTTACATTAATGTGTTGCATTAGATGAATCATCAATACTACATTATATTGTAATTATTAAGTGCCACCTATAGATCAATATGTAAGCCTATTTGTTTGAACTAATTCTCGCAGATTTTTGCTGTTAGCAGTAATTTCGAAAGTTGTCAATGTAGTACAATAATTTGTATTAAAATTTTTAAAATAACAATGAGAATAGCCAGAAACACCAATCATTTAAATAAATACCCACAATGTGAGTCAAAGTTCTTCCTCATTTATCAATATACAAGAAAGATACCCATTGAGGGGAAATACAACTCGTAATAGGCTGATAGAAAAACAAGTCAATAAAAAGTCTAGTGACAATTTAAGCGCAATTTCCTTATGTTATCCTTAACAATTTTAAATCGAGATAAATCATATATTCAGCAAATTTTTTGTGACCGAACGAAAGGATATTTTTGAAAACTTTCTTCAGCAATATTGTTCTAAATTA